AGGCTTTACATCAGGGGTAGGCAACCTAAGGCCCGGGGGCTGGATGTGGCCCCCCAAGGCCTTTGGACTGGCACCAGGCTGGTACTGCTACCACCACTGCCACCACCGCCATCCCCCGCCGCCACTGTTGCCCGCCATGATGATATTGATTATTGTTGTTATTACTTGTTCTTGGGATTTTCTTGGCAAAATCTCCACAGGGGTTTTGCTATGGCTTTTCTGGGGCTGAGAGAGTGTGCATGCATTTTTTAAAATTTAATTATTTTTAATTATTTTTATATTTATTTATTTATTTATTATTTTTGGTGTTTAGGCCCCCCAATTGTCTGAGGGACAGCAACCCAGCCCCTGGCTCAAAAAGGTTGCCTACCCTTGCTTTACATCTTACAGGCAAGGGGATTTTTAAATCCAAATCAAGATAGGTTATTCATGTGTTGACTTACCGAGTTCCAATTTATTCAGTAGATCTATTCTAACTGGGACTAACAACTGTATTTAGGTCATGTCCCTGCTTCTGCCAATTAACTGTTCCATGTAAAATGTGCATTCATTTCATTAGATATCCTATCCATAAAGGTTTTTATTCTTACAACCATGCTACCGTATATACTCATGCATACGTTTAGAAATGTTAGTAAAAAGATTGACCTCATAAACCTGGATTGATTTATCCATAGATCAGTTTAAATAATGTACTTTAACTCTTATCAAGAAAGGAACCATCCCATTCCTGGAGAAAGGTGAGAGTTTACTTCATCTTTCTTACACCTAAGAAAGCATTGACCCCCTCTACTCTCTCCAACACAGTATCAATTTTGCCCCTTCTGAATATGAAAATGATGGTGGTGGCAACTCTTTGGCATTTCCCATCAAGACTCTGGATTTTGAAAGATTTGAATAAGACATATATGTTTGTCAGATTTTCTGGATAAAAATCAGGCAAAGTTATCACATTTAAATTAAATACAATAATTAATGCTAACATTTTCTTTGCTTTGCCTTTTTATCCTTTTTGACATGTGTATTGTCTTAGCCCTGCCCACTCCCGGTTGCCTCCTCTCACATTTCATAGCCACAATTTATCATAAATCCCTCCTCATCCATCCAACTTTTAGAATGAGCATAAATAGCAATGCCTGCCAAAATTCTGTGAATTCTTTGGCATTGTTTTCCTTTTCTTCATCCCTTACCTCCTTTGTTCCATGCCACTAAGTTTTACTCTTGATTTATCCAAGGGTTAGTTCAAAATCTATAATTTTGACTCCAAACCTGCCCTTGATATATACATGAGGTTGACTTATAGTTGTGCATTTATGGTAACCGCTACACCATCTCTTCTTTATAAATGTCATTTGATGTTTCTTCAGTTTCCTGGGGATAGCTATACTATTTTTCTGTCACTGGCTCTTTTCTTTGAAGGAGCCATGACATTGTCTGGTCACTGCTGCTCTAGCTCATCTTGGGAGAGGATAAGAGATACAAATAGGCAGAGTGAACCCATCTTTCTTTTGTCTGGTCTTATCAAGAGAACGGTTCCCATTCATTACCACCCCAACTGTATTATAGGTACATGGAACTGAAACATATCCATTGCATTAAACATCTAGAAGTGAGAAGTGGAGACAGTGTGGGTGAATCTATTTTTAAATCCGCTGTGTGTGTTTTTGGAACATCTGAAAAATATTATAGGATGGTGATAGAAAGTGATAGATGAAATCTAAACAAAAATGAATGGAGGCAAAAATTATGGTGGTGTTAGTGTTAGTAGTCATTCTATATTACAGGGTTTCATTATTAGCTCAAGACACTTTGTTGAATAAGGCAAAGCAACAAATTCTGCCCCTCCCAGTAAGGGTACACACACTTTCCAAGGCCAACCATCTTATTTTGGTGTCTGAGGTCTTGTCTGCACTTGCTATAGACCTGGGACCAGTCAAGAACATTATGCTCTGCTACTGGTCCTAGACTGGCCATGATGACAACTGCATGCAATGAGTCACACCAAGTGTAGCAGCACAACGTTATTCACATGGGCCAGCCAGGTCAATACCAAATCGCCACAGCTGGCCCATCTCCAGGTGTGATTGGGTCCCTCTACCTTCTTTTCTTATTGGTCACATGGGTGAGCCCATCCTCAGAAGTAGCAGTGTTCCAGTGGGCCTGTCCACAGAACTCCTGCAGGTTCTGGAACAGTGGCAGCAACTCTAGGGAAAGGGGATGGGCCAGCCAAGACCTTTCCCTGCTAGGAAAAGAGGGCACCTACATGCCCAATTCAGACTTGATTCAGATGTTTGCACACCAGGGAAATACTGGGGTTTTCTCCAACTTCTCCATTTCTGGGGCAAAGTTGGGTTAACAGGGAAAACATGTGGCATTCCACAGAAGTTGCCATGCATCATGTGAACAGGCAGTGATGATGGAGTGTTTTTTGTTTGTTTGTGCAGACAACCCCTGCGGTATAAAATCCCACATACATCTCTCTTTATCACCTTGGAAGTAAAATTGCAACCATAATATATTAAACAACCCACAATTTGTTGCCTTATCTTGATCTGCTGCCTGAGGTGACTGCCTTTGCTTCATGGTAGGCCAAGGTCTGCAAGTAATAACATTGAGGGAGTTAAGAAAAGGGCATTATATATAAGGAATTGAGATACTTGATAAATATATGCCCCTGTTATCCTGGACACCTTCTTGAACTAGTTTCTCAATTTGCCAGCATGACTTGCCAGCAGTTGAATGCATTCTTATAAAATGAAAATTTCCACTGATTTTCCTGTATTATATATTAAACATTTGCCTTCTCTGCTGAAACACTTACTGATTACTTATTCTTTTCCTTTTATCTAGCTGTTAAGGGTCTTCTACTTCACCCATGGCTCTTTAGTATGTAACTCCATAAAGCTCTTATGCTAGGTCCCCCTCACTTTTTCTTCTCAAGTGTGCCTACAGGAGTCCTGCCTGGAAATTATAGCACTTTGCACTTAATGTTCAAAGCTGAAATCTTTTCAGCATGTAAGGAATAATGATCAAGCAACATAGCATTAAGAAAGATTAATGGCCAGGTGGGAGGGATTAATGGCATGAAGGGTGTCCAAGGGACCATTCACCCCAGCTGCTGCTTAAACCCCAGGATATGCTCAATTTCAAGGTCATTATTGCTATTATGAGATAGTCAACAAACATTTATAAAACATTTCCCTGGAGACCTCCCCCCACCTTTCTCTTCTGTCATGTAATGATTATTCTACTGCTGTTAGTGATTTGCAGTACACCTTCTACTTTAAGATCTCTAATATTCTTTTTCAGTCTTTATCTGATTGTATGAGTCATGTTAACTGCTTCATACTTAATGCTCTAATTTATTCTTCAAGCAGTTGTGAAAGTGTATTTGTGGAAAGGAAAGCATGATACCAAATGTCAGCATGCCTGGGCAAGGCTTGTTATTAGCAAAAAAAAAAAAAAAAAAAAAAAAAAAAAGGAAATGGAAGCTAGATTTGAAATGCCATAAAGAAACTCTACACACAGTGTAATACTAGTACATACCATCTCCTAAACAATGTAAATATATCGGCCATGAAAGCCTACAACTTCACATTGGAAATCTCTACGGGGAGAAACTGTTCCAATGTAAATAGGTCATTTTATGTGGACAGCATAATCACAATTGCCAGGGTAAGGAGATGAATCAGTAGTCTGTCTCTGACAGAGCCAAGATTTAGATGAGGGGGTACCATCTGAAATATTTTTCAGCTGGCAAGAACCACACTGTGTGTTGCAACAGAGAAATCTACCTCTATCAATTTTTTCTGTTTTTGCCCATAATTCTATGCTATTTCTGCATTCAGTTTGATCAGAAGCCAAATGCACAGGCAGGAGCAGCTGCTAGCCAATATGAATCCAACCAAGAAAATGATTCTGTCAGAAGCAATTGATGCCAGAGTTAAGGATAATTAACATTTGTACAACACTTCAAGCATTCATAGCACTTTACATAATTATCTAATTGGAATCAGATCTTGGAAACATTATTTTTTTTGGGGAAATAGCTCCTAGAACTAGGATGGCTGGAGGATTCTGGAAGTAATTCTGGGATCATTAGACCTAAAAATCAAGTTTTCCAAGTTCTAGTTGTAATCTTTACATGAGTCCACTGTAGCCGCTGTCTCTGTCAGCCTGCCTAATTGCTTTGTACATGAGGATAAATCTCTCTTAAAACTGCAGACAGTAAATCATGGTAGGGAGGAAGGTAGAACATTAAAGAGAAGACAATCCAGATTTTGATCTGTTTAACCATGAAATTACAAAAGGGTTATCTGTCTCTTATATGCATTTTTGGTCTGTAACTTATATTTATAAATTAGGGAAACAACAGTGAAGATTAAGACAGAAGGCTAACACGGTTATGCCTCTTTCCTTTTCTCATGAGTAGAAGTTATATGCGTACCCTTCACCTCTCCCAATTTGGCAGGAACAGTTCTAATGAATCATTTGTTGGCACTCTTTCCTAGATGCTCTTAAAATATTCCATTTCTCTCTCTCTCCCCCCCCCCCCATTTCCCCCCTTTATCATCAGCTTACTTCAGTTTCTACAAATATCTCAGTTATCTCGGCTGGGAGGAGAGAAGACAAGAGGCAAAGGAGGGGGCAGAATCTTGTTCTTCCCAGAAAATTCAGGCCAAAGCAAAGAGCTGCATCCTCTCCTAACTTGTGTGTTCTTCCTCATTAATAACTTTTGCCATTTTAATCACACTTGGCTGCATTGTCCTGGTTTACATTTGTGAAATGTGGAGTGTACTTTTACATATTTTAGTCTCTGGAATGTATGAATTGGTCTTTAGTAATCCTGTCTGAATGTACATTAATGTATACAAAGAATTCCTCTACCCAGAATTGTTTTCAAAACCAATTAAATGAAAAGAACCTAACTCTGTCTGTATTGTTTTTATATTTAGCAACAATTGCATTCCTATATTCACTAAGTATAAGTACTCACTGAGGGGCGAGTATGGCATAGTGGTTTGAATGCTGAATTATGACTCTGGAGACCAGGGTTCGATTCCCAACTTGGCCATTGGAAACTGACCTTGGGCAAGTCACACTCTCTCAGCCCAAGAGAAGATAATGGCAAACCTCCTCTGAACAAACCTTTCCAAGAAAGCCCTATGATAGGTTCACCTTTGGGTTGCCATAAGTTGGAAACAACTTGATGGAACACAACATACACACACTCACTAACTGCTAGTTTGCATGCTATTTTATAGAGTTTAGATACCATATATATTTATTTAAACTTCCTCTTTGTTAGTTTTCCCCTCACATTCTCTTTTCTTGTATCAATCTAACTCACACCTAGTTTTTTTCTTTTTCCTTCTTTCTCTTCCATAAGACTCTGTGTTTGATGATGCAAAAGTAGTTTGTAAGTAAAGCTACTTTTATATGCTTTATAAAGAAGACTATGTTTATTCCCTCCTCTTCCAGGAGGGCAAGTATGGGACTAGTTATGGTTCAGGCTCTGCTTTGCCAATCTAATTACTCTGCATGAGAGATGCAGTAATACCTCTTATATTCCTTTCGACATAGAATGAATGATGAGCTTCCTTTATATGGGAGCTGAATGTATACAACTCACAACTCAACACACTCTGGATTATGGTATACTTACACATTCAGGTATTATTAACTAGTTTCCTTTATTAAGCATGCTGAAATGTGATGATCTATAAAACTGATTTTTTTTTTAAATGCCTGTATTATTGACATTGCAACTTTCCCCCCTTTTGTGAACAGTAGTTAAAGGACTACCTTTACCTTTTATTTTTAGTTAATCAGGCAGTAGTTTAAGCAATAATTATTATGTGTAACAAATATGAGTCAATTAAAACCTTTTCAGGCCTAGATTATCCCACCTCGAGAACCTATTTAATTTTTTTTATAAAACATTTGCTCTATTACAATCTAATATTGTATAAGATTGACCAAATACACTTAAGCAGAGCTGTTTGGGAAAGTGGTATCGCTAAAATTCTGATTGATGTCTAAGCAGACTAATTTTAATTTTTGGTATGACCTCTAAGATGGTAATGGGAATGTTCACCAGAATCCTATAGGGCCTGTTATGTTGTATAACCTCATGCACACCAGCTACATAGCTGAGGTGTTTTTTTTTTTTTAAAAAAAAATCCTTACTCAATTGCAAACATGCATAACAGGACATTGGGAAGAGTGCCCTATGCACATCAGCTCTGGTGCACATTAGTGTATGATGGACATTGGCACATGGCACACTGAGGTACCTTGCACACCAATGCATATTGCCCACTGATACATACCATACAGTGATGTGCATTGTGCACCAATGCAAAGTGGGCACAAAACTACATAGCCTATAATTCCATAGCATTGAGCCTTGGCAGTTAAAGCAGTGTCAGATTGCATTATTTCTGCAGTGCAGATTAGACCAAAGTAACAGCATTACGCAACTGCACAATTCTAATTTCCACAGACATATGTGCATTATGAATGTGTAAAGCCCCAAAAGGATCCAGGTGAATCTCCTTGATTAAATTCAACTTTATTCCTTCTAGCATAGTTACAAAATCACATGTGCAATAAAAATTGCATTGTAAGCCATTTGCATTGTTAATTCTTAAGATACACAACTGCTCAGAATATTAGTGTAGTGGCATCACTGTCACTGTCATCACTGCAGTACTGGCCAATGTAACCTACTTGGTTATAGGATAAGGTTTGAGAGGGTGATAAGCTGCAGACACCTGAAGACTTTATTCAAGGCCAAATTAAATCTGTTCTTGTCTATTGGTGCCTTAAAAGAAAACAGCAAATAGCTAATATCAAAATCACAGCCACAATCTAATTCCTGCCCCCACATCTCCAAATTCATCATGGTCTTAATATTCCCATTGGTACTATGAGAAGGTGAGATTCTTATCAGGGCTGCACTGGAGACAAAATGTTACAGCTCCCTTTGTCTTGCCTCCAGCCCAGTTCCTTCTGGAGCAGATGACTAATTTCCTTAGATACTTTGGGATATGTGCACACTGGGTGAAAACTGCAGAAATGTCAATTTTCTCTCCAAATGAGGAAAAGCTTAGGCAATTGTTTGGCCTCATATGTCTAAATAAAACAGATTTACATCCTTAGTTGAGACTGTGTATACATTTACTAACATCTTGGGAATTCAGGAAATGTGCATGAATAACTATAGTCATTTTAACTATATGAACAGCCTGAAATCCCTATCTCCTTCTCTCCCAGGGCACCTCAGTGGTTCCTGATGTGAAAAGATTTCACATGGAAACCTCTGCTTAAAAACCCCCCAAAAAACAGCACTACTACTGACTTTTCATCACTATTGAATGTCATCAAATAGGATGAGTGTGCTGGATTTGTGGTAGGACCAGACATTTTGTGAATTGACTGACATTGAACAGTAAGAGATTCAACACAGAGGAAAGCAAATGCTTCTTTACACAGCAGATAAATAATGTATGGAACTTGTCACCACAGGTTGGATGACTTTAAAAGGAAACTAAAGTTCAAAATTGCATGGAGAGCCACCATAAACAGAAGTTGCCATCCATGTGTAGAGAAGGAAATGGAAACAGGAACAAAGAGTACACTCAAACTCCTTCTGTATCAGCTCTACTTGACTTAAGTATTCTATCAGCATTTTTCAAGATGATCTAAAAATCAAAGGAGTTCCTTGACTTCCTAAGAGCTCCTTCAGTACCCTGAAAGTGGGAAGCTTGAAAACCATGGATCTGAATAAATGAATGCTCTGTTGCTATTAAGATGAATTTCTAATTAAATTTGTGGTTAGGGTAACCTTTCAACACATTTTGAAAGGAATCATTAAATCTGGAAAAAAATGAAAACAAACCAAAAAACAAACCACCTTGCTGATTCTAGAATATAATGTTTCACCATCAAGATATATTTTAAGATATCTGCTATTCTAACACAAGAGTAATCTTTCTTTTTCTAGCTGTTTCACATGAAAAGATTAATAATTTACATATGTTGCTATGACAACTAGGTATCAAAGTACAATAAGTCTAGACAGTGCTGTTTCTGCCCTTTGAAACCAAAATCGAATGTAAATATCAGGTTTTGAATCAAGCTGCCAAGAGTAATTTACTAAAAATCATAGTAAAAAAAAAAAAAAAAGGGCTGCTGGGCATACAGCTATTAAACTCAATTTTCAAAGCTAGTAGGATTTTTTTTAAAAAAAAGATATGCACTTATCATTAATGGTATTACTTCTGTTGCTGAATACTAATTAATGAATGGGTCTGAATCCCATTCAACTCCACAGTACCTAGAATTTTGATAACCTAGTAGCAAACACCATAGAACTTTAACTGTTCTACAATGAATACAAAATCAAGGGATAGTTATGCAACAGCAAAGCACAACTTCTTTGTTAAATTTCTAAAATACATGTGCTACAACACAACAAGGTCTTTATGCAGTGAAGAATTTATGATTGTGGCATGCAATTTAACATGGTTAGGGTGGGTGATTTAGAGAAAGGGACACAACAACAACAACACTGCATGCAGTACATATGAGGATTTTCCTGTTAATGCTTTCATGGATTGCATGTGTCTATAAAACATGTTGTATATTAAAGGCAGCACATAAATTAAACTGCATGAAATGGGGATCAAGTGAACAAGAGGTGAGAAAAGAATGAACAGGCTTTCTGCAATCCTGGGGTCCTTTAACACTACATGATTGGATCATATGGAAACCTTGGTTTTGTAGTTTGAGGCACTAGAGCTCTCTGGATGAAAATTCTAAATACCCTTTCCTAAACTGCAAGTTCCAAAATCCGATAGGGTGGAGCCATGACAGTTAAAGTGGAATCATAGTGCTGTAATTGTGAAGTCTGAAAGGGCCCCATGTCTCGCTAACCTTTATGAGGAGGGAGGGGATGAGAATTAGTTTTCTGAGTGCAAGACATGATCAACAAGATCCCTCTGTAATGTTTTGAAGAGATTTGGTCATATGTGTGTCGTGTTGCCTTGACTTAAACACATTCGTTTGTTAGTCTGCATAGAAATAATGGGCGCATCCAGACACTCCAACAAGCTAGAATTCAAGGATGTACAAGGCATGATATATGATATGATCATCATTTCCTCTGCAAGTGGCAACAGCTAAACAAAACAGAAATCAATAATAATAATAATAATAATAATAATAATAATAATAATAATAATAATAATTTATATCCCACCCCTCTGTCAACCAATCGGGGTGGCTTACATCAGTTAAAATTCCATACAATATAAATATACCTGTGCTTTACTTATTGTGTCAGGACTTAAAGACCTGCTGTTGGTTTAGCCTCCTGCCTCCTACAGTGTCAGTGATCACATATTGTATCATAGACCAACTTAGTGAAGTCTAACTAACTGTGACATGATAAACTGTGACAGGCTGCCTCTTTGAAACTAGAGCATATGTTTTTTTTAATTGTACACATTTAGATGAATATGTATTGCTGGGTGGGAATCATTTGGCCCTCCAGATGCTGTTAGACTGCCACTCCCATCATTCCTCATCATACTCACTATACAAACTAGGGATGTTGGCACTTGTAATCCAAAACCAATGAGAGGGTTGCATGATTCACACCTCTGATGTATTGGATAGGATGAGGCATGCTCCTGCAATCTCAGCCACACAACACATTCATTTTTGCTCAGTATCAGTGTAACCAAATGCAACTCAAAGGACAAAGGATGTACACATGATGCAAAGTTTATTGGTGTTTTTGAAAAGTTATTCAGTTAGTTCAATGGCTCTCAATGACTTCTCTCAGGCTGTGGAGTTGCATCGGCACAAATGACATCGAACACCATTATTTGGGTAAAACATTTGGCCACAACTTTATTTGTACAGGGTCTTAAACTTCACCAATTTTACAATTGAATAACAGTTTTACTAAAAACAGCATATTTCTTTGATGCATGCACTCGTGTGAATAAGTGCAAGCGCTATTCTTTAATTTTTCTCCCACACATCATGCGTCAAGGTTTTTTA